AACAGTTACCTGCCCCTGGCACAACCATCTGCAACAACTGCTCATTGCACTTCCCTAAACATCAAGTTCCTCAACATAAGGTCGTACACACAACATTTGCCGGACTTGAAAGCAGACAGCACATTACAACCTGCTGAAGTTTTCTGCTATGTTGAAACCTTCCTGTACCCAAATCAAGAGGTGGAACTATTTCCCCCAAACTCAATAGCGGTAAGAGCGGACAGGAAGGGAAGAGGAGGAGGAGTAATGACTGTAGCATCAAAAAACATCTCGCCCAAGCAACTTCATATTCAACTAGATGAACTAGAGTACACAGCAATAACAGTCACCAAACTATCCACCAATGTCAACATCATCAACATCTACAGACCACAGACAATGCCAGAAGGGCTGTTCATCAGTATGCTCCACAGACTCATAGATCAACTTCCACATGACACCATGACTGTTATCCTTGGAGACTTCAACTTCAACATCTTAGATTGTCCCCAACCTAAAATATTAGCTGTAATGCAACAGTACGGCTTTACCCAAGAGGTTCAAACGCCTACCACTGACTATGGCACGCTCCTCGATCATGTATACATCCGTGACCAAGAACAGCATGGTAGACATGTTACCGTTATGGACACATACTTCTCAGACCATGACTTGGTCACTGTAACAATAACCCCATAAAACATTTCACCTTCAATGATCAGGCGACATCTATGCAACATGTGTGTGACGCACGTTAACAGCCAATATATGTCAGCCACCCACAGCTGAATAACAAACAGCAAAAATAATTCTCATGTGTATCTTATATATATATATATATATTTGAATTGATGTCATTTTATTTTATTGGAATTGTAATTTTGTATATGTATATAGTTTGATTCTATAATTTGTATAAAATAGATTTATTATGTTTGTATCATCATCTGTCATATCCTGCAGAACATTTTTGGGCTTTAATATGGACACACGTTTCTCTTTGGCTGCACTGTTAACAAACACAACTTGTCGACTTGACTTTTTAGTGGCAATGAAAGTACCCTGAAGGCAGCTTTCTGAGCTGCTACCTCCCTGTTGTTAAGAAAAGTCGACTTCTACATCTTAGATTGTCCCCAACCTAAAATATTAGCTGTAATGCAACAGTACGGCTTTACACA